GGAGGTTTACCATGGGGTCAGTAAGCACAGTCCTGTTCTCTTCTCACCTGATCAGCAATGAGACTAGGTAATCTGAAAATGATTTTGAGTGTACATCAGATGAGCATGAAAGGCCTCGCAAACATACAGTTAATGCTATTTTTGCAATGAGACTATAGCTTTGCTTATTGGGTAGTGAACGGGAAGGTGGCAGATTTAGGCAGTAACAGAAAGTGGTTTATTGCATTATCTCTTGCACACACACAGTTGCACACCCCTCCATATGGTGGCTGTTCTATATGAAGCAGCCTCAATCTTCAAAAGTTACTTCTACAGCTGCTTTTCTGCTCAGCAGTCAACCGCCAGTTTCGATAGCCGTGTGTTGAAGTTCATTACTTTTACAGATGGGAAGGAAAGCCAGGCTTTTAATTGGGCATCACAATAAATGAACAAAATTGCATTGGGCCTCATCTTCTTCAGTGCGTCAAATTACATTGCACAGGAAAAACTAGAGTGGCATTAAGGGAGATAGCTTTCATTTACTCATGGCAGAAAAAGAAGTCAGCAAGGTAGATTATAGTGAAGGTTAAAATTAAAATTCCACTTGCTGAGTTGCTTGTGCTTGATCTGAATCATACTGACATAATCATCAGTGGCCCTGGTCTCCAAGGGAGAGCTCTTGCAAAAAAAGGAAGGAAGTTGTTGAAGGATTAGAAGGGAAACAATCCAAAACAAAATATAAATAAGTCATTAACAAGAATCTTTTTGTGCCTTGTGCTCTCCTGCTGAGCTGCCAAACTAGGAGTTTCAGAGCTGTGCCTGGGGTTTTTTGGGTTTTTTTATCAAAGCCTTTAGAAGCAAGGCAAGTTATTCTACATATGCTTAAAGTAGGGTTTCCATATTTCACAAAGTAAAAACCAGGACACCCCCAAAGTTGTTGAGCCAAAAAACTCAAATTTTTGCAATTTTTTGATTTACTTGCCTAAAAGCAGCGCCTTCGTTACTGGTGGATGCAGAGAAAGCCTTCGACAGTGTGGCCTGGAACTTTCTGGTTCACACTGTGGAAAGTTTGAAACTTGGGAACAAAATTTTGAATGGTATTAAAGCGATATATGAAAACCAGAAAGCTAAGTTAATAATTAACAATGAAACAACTGAAGAATTCCAAATTGAAAGAGGCACCAGACAAGGATGTCCTCTATCCCCACTTTTGTTCATTGTGACACTGGAAACACTCCTAATAGCAATAAGAAAGGACCCAAAAATTAAGGGGATTAGCCTAGGTAATAGACAATATAAAGTTAAAGCATTTGGGGACGATGTAATTATTTCTACAGAAAATCCAGAAGTATACAAGAAGCCTTAAAGAAATTGACTGAGTATGGAGGAGTATCAGACTTCAAGTTAAATAAAGAAAAATCTAAATTATTAATGAAAATATGGGGGTAAAGGAAGAGGAAGAATTGGAAAGGGTAACAGGCCTTAAAATCACTACGAAAGCTAAGTATTTGGGGATCTGGATTACAAATAAAAATACCAATTTACAAGGATAATTACCGTATTTTTTGCTCTATAAGACTCACTTTTTCCCTCCTAAAAAGTAAGGGGAAATGTGTGTGCGTCTTATGGAGCAAGTGCAGGCTGCGCAGCTATCCCAGAAGCCAGAACAGCAAGAGGGATTGCTGCTTTCACTGCGCAGCGATCCCGCTTGCTGTTCTGGCTTCTGAGATTCAGAATATTTTTTTTCTTGTTTTCCTCCTCCAAAAACTAGGTGCGTCTTGTGGTCTGGTGCATCTTATACAGCGAAAAATACGGTATGTGAAGAAGTGGAAGGAAATAAAAGGATATTTAAATAAATGGAATAAATTGAACTTGTCTTTATGGGATAGGATATCCTTGATAAAAATGTTAATTCTCCCAAAAATGCTCTTTCTTTTCCAGACAATCCCAATAATTATTGGGACAAAATGTTTTAAAGGCTGGCAAAAGGATCTTTCTAATTTTATTTGGCAAGGTAAGAAGCCAAGACTAAGGTTGAAAGTACTGATGGAGCCCAGAGAAAGTCGCGGGTTCACGGTCCCAGACCTCAAGCTGTATTTTGAGGCTGCATGCATGATGTGGCTGAAAGATTGGATGTTACTGACAGATACGGAAATCCTAGACCTGGAGGACTGGGAGAAAGTTTTTGGGTGGCATGGCTACCTGGATCATGATAAAATAAAACACATAGAGGCTTTGCTAATCATTTGGTGAGAAAGGCCCTATTCGAAGTTTGGGAAAGAAATAAAACAATAGTAACAGCCAAAACTCCCTGGTGGCTATCGCCTATAGAGTCATCAGCCATGCATAGAAATAATATGAAAGACAGTTGGCTAACATATAGGGAACTTGTAGAAGAAATAAAGGATTGCCCGATAGTGAAGAAGTTTGAAGAATTAAAAGAGAGGGGGGTGAATTGGTTAGAATATTTCCAATTAAAAACAATATTTGAGAAGGATAATAAACTTAAGGGGTTTAATAAAAAAATATTGGTATGGGAAAAGGAAATCAAATACAACAACCAACAGACACTCTCAAAAATATATAAATTGTTACAAAATGGGAAAATAGAAAAGGAGGAAAAAGTTGACACTATTAAAAAATGGGAACAAGATCTGGGCCACTCAATTGAATATAATGAATGGGAAAGACTGTGGACAAAAAATATAAATTTTACAGCATGTTACCTAATAAGAGAACTATATGAAAATGCATCATAGGTGGTACCTGGCAGCAAAAAGGCTGGCAAAAATGAATAAAACATATAATAATAAGTGATGGGGCTGTCAGAAACAAAAAGGAACTTTCTACCATATGTGGTGGACATGCCCTGAAACTGGGAAATTTTGGAGAATGATTCACGAAGAAATAAAAGAAAATACTAAGAATATCATACAGTAAAAGGCCAGAGGCATTCCTTTTAGGAATTTTAAACGATATTCCAAAAGACAAAACTAAATTTTTCTTATACGTGACGTTTGCAGCAAAAATCTTGGTGACTAAGTACTGGAAAGGAATTCAGTTACCCACTAGGGGAGAATGGTTATGTAAGCTTTCAGAATATTTAGAATTAGCCAAATTGACGGATATAATAAGACAAAAAACAAAAAGTGAAGTGAAAAAGGAATGGGAGTGCCTAAACGAATACCTTAAAAGCCAAGGTTCGAGGACAGAAATCTGGCTAAGTCTGGAGTAACCTTGTGAAGTGAAAGGATAAGAAAGAGGGATTTTTATCTAGATGCTAGGATAGAGATAAGGAAAACAGGAAGATACAATGAGAGGTAAATGAGGTGCTGTGGGATTGGTGGAAGTCAATGTTTGTTTTCCTTTTTAGTGTTTATATTATTAATTTGTAAGATTTGGATTTGTTTTTCATATGCTTGTTTTTGTGTATTGTTATTTTTCATTTCATTTTTGTAGTTGTGCGGAAAATACTAATAAAATTTACTATTAAAAAAAAAAAAAAGCACCGCCTTTCGGATATTCCCCCCTGGACGTCAATTCCACCTTTGAAATCCTGGTAAGGTCTGTAAAAATCCAGACGTATGGCAGCCCTAGCTTAAAGGCACTCTCTTGTATTTATTAATCCGCATGGTTTAGACATGAGAACATAAGAGCCAACTTGCACAAGCCAATGGCCCATCTAATTCAGCATGATATTCTCACAGTAGCCACTCGGATGCCTATGGGAAGCCCCAAAGCAACAGCACTACCCCAATCCTGCAGTTTTCAGCCATTGGTATTCAGGAGCACACGCCCTCCAACAGTGAAGGTAATCAACAGGGTTGGTAGCCACCCGAATTTATCTAATCCTCTTCTAAAGCCATCCAAGTTGATCACCTGCATGTGGGAGTGAATTTCATAGTTTAACTATGTGAAGAAGTACTTTCTTTTGTCTGCCTCAAATCTTCCGTCATTGAGTTTCATTGAATGGCCACACAGTTTAGTATTGTTATGAATTTGTGGTCTTAAAACTGGGACCAGATCCGTGTGTCTTAAGACACTTCTAAATCCCTGGAACTAGTAAGTGTTAGAATTTAAGGCTTCTAATTCTGGGAAATGGCCAGACCACTATAATCCCTGGATCCAGTGAAGTGTTAGAATCCAATCTAGCCTTGGGCTGTTAAATGGAGTGATAGACTACTTTAATCCCTCAATTCAGCAAGTGTGAACAGCTAATTAAACCAAGCTAGCCTCCTGGTTGATGAGCCATTAAAAAGCCAAAGTATCAAAGAGCTCGTGAGAGATGGCAAATGGGTGGATAAAGCCAGAGCTTAAGAGTAGAGAGTCTAAAGCAATCCGAGTTGGAATCTTAGGTTGTTGTTGTTTAGTCGTTTAGTCGTGTCCAACTCTTCGTGACCTCATGGACCAGAGCACGCCAGGCAGTTCTGTCTTCCACTGCCTCCCACAGTTTGGTCAAACGCATGCTGGTAGCTTCGAGAACACTATCCAACCATCTCGTCCTCTGTCGTCCCCTTCTCCTTGTGCCCTCCATCTTTCCCAACATCAGGGTCTTTTCCAGGGAGTCTTCTCTTCTCATGAGGTGGCCAAAGTATTGGAGCCTCAGCTTCAGGATCTGTCCTTCCAGTGAGCACTCAGGGCTGATTTCCTTAAGGATGGAGAGGTTTGATCTTCTTGCAGTCCATGGGACTCTCAAGAGTCTCCTCCAGCAAATCTTAGGTTAGGAAGGAGTTATGTGACTGGGAAAAGAAAAGCAGCAGGCAGAGCATGATGTCTCATGTCTGTTTGGATCCAAGGCTACACCCATGGCTGAAGCAAGACTTTCTTGGAGTGTTAATGCCATTAACCCCTCCATTGTAGGCTCAGGTTGTACAGGGTTAGTCCTTTAAAAGAGGCCCCATGGATACAGAGTACACATGTTCCACAGGGTCTCTTTTAAAAGACTCACCCTGTATATATGGGTGAATAGATTCAGGTAAGTAGCCATGTTGGTCTGACGCAGTTGAAATATATATAAAAACTGTCCAGTAGCACCTTAGAGACCAACTAAAGTTTGTTCTTGGTATAAGCTTTCGTGTATCTGAAGAAGTGTGCATGCACACGGAAGCTTATACCAGGAACAAACTTAGTTGGTCTCTAAGGTGCTACTGGACAATTTTTTATATTTTTAAAATATATTTCATACGTGTAAATAGTTAGACCTTAAGAGGGGTATGAGGGTATGGCAGCGGTGGTCTTGCACAGAAGTTTTATGCATAGTACTGACAACAGTACGAGGGGGGTAGGCAAGAATTAAGAGCTTTTGGTGTTTAAAATCACACCTACTGTTTCACTCTCAATATATGAAAGCACACTATCTCTATCTATTGAACTAATTTCCTTTTGTTGCAAAGGCAGTTGCACCTGCACTCTTAATCTCTCTTTGACAAGCTGATTAAAATGTTCAAAGCCCTAATTTTTTGGGATTTTGTGCCTTCAAATCATGTTTTCATGTAACTGGAATAGGAGAGACAGAGAAAGGGGGAAAGCTTTCAGCATCATCTGCTGAATATCCTGATATATCACATCAATGTTGTACATAACCTCTGGTTTCTTGCTTACATCAGAAATAACTCTTTATGCAAGAGCAAAATACAAGCTTCTAGCTAAAGCTTCCCTTTAGCGCAGAGTTACTGGTATATCAACATTTTAGAAGAATAACTTGTGTTACCGCAGGAGAGCAATGGAGGAGAATTTGGATCACATCTAAATGTATGCATGTATTGTGCTACAGAGCAATCCTAAACCCATTTACTCAGTAGTCTGTCCCATTGAGCTTCATGGGCATTAAGCAACCTGCAATAGCTTGACTTCCTTCTCTTAATGAAAGATACCATTTGTTCCAGTTGGAATGTAGCTCATACACTACAGAAAGAAAAACACTAAACATGCTTTTGATGTGACTGTAACATAACAAGTTGTGCATCTGACATACACAGTTTTTTTCTTCAGCAAACATGCTTCCAATGAAATACCCATCCATAGATTGTTGGTTTGGTTGTTTTTTGTTTGTTTAATATATAAACCAACTGTGACTAAAACTCACATTTGATAAAACAGATTTTTTTTAGGAAAAAAATGAAATCTAATTTGACCCAGAGACCCACAATTTTATATAAGATTGGATATATTTTATGTCAAAACATAATCACCCATTAAAGCTGGTGATGCAACTAAAAAGATACATTATTGCAATTGTTCTAAAAAAAATAAACAGAACAAAAACTATAATTTATTATACTTCTGTCTTCATTCTATGCCAGGTGTTGGTGGATTACACAGAAAAAAATTAAGTTTTCTTTAAAAGTTTCTACTAAATATAATAAAAGAGCAATTAACATTTAGTTTGTTACATTGAAAAAGTGTACACACTTAATTGCTTTGTTAGCTTTACCTAAATCTCTTCAGCTATAAAAAAAGAAAAAAACCTGTTGTTCATAGTCAAAAAACATTCAAATCAGTTGATACAACATTACAGTACAGCCAACTAACATTGTTCAAAATCTTGTCATTTTATCTCAAGTAAAAGAGTCCTTAGACTAGATTATGACAAAGCTGGTTTAATGTATTTTCAAGTTGGTCGAGTTAAGATTTTGCAGGACACTGTACTTTCTGTTGATGGCTTCAGAAGAAAGGGGTCATGCGACTTGTAAATCAAAGGGCAATCCCAGCCTTCCATTCCCCACCCAGCATTCGTTAGAACAGCATTGTTAAATTAAGCAGAACTAAAAAAAACTGGAAGCTAAGTGAAGCTGCCATTTGTGTGTGTCAAAACAATTGCGATACGCTATACTAAAAACATTTTGAAATATCCACCTGTCCTCACCACTCTGCCACAAAACCAGCAAAGTCAAAAAAATACAAAAGTCTTCAAACTTGTCACTTTTGCAGAATAAAGCAAAAAAGTCTTTGTGCTCCTTACTACCAGAAGCAAAATACCATCTGAGTTACCACATATAATAGCTTCTGGACGTGTCCACTTGAGTTGGCTTGGTTTCTGCAGTGCCCTCCTTGTCTTTTTCACTGTCACCTTCCCAGAGGTTAATAAGTGGAGGATACAGTTCATTCAGAGGAATGGAGGAGGTCTTTTGCATATACTTTTTCAGTGAATGGTGGTAGTTTTTCCTCTTAAACCTCTTAGCAACATAGACAGAAACAGAGGCAAGACTAATAACAGCAAACATGGATCCCATGACTGCAGCCAGAGCTGTGCTTGTTTCTTGGTCAGTAATCTCAAGGGAAAATGCTGCATTTTTTGTTGTAACATTAACACAGGACTTTTGAGTTTGCTGATGGATGTTAGATACAGTGAGGCAGACTTCGTAATCTGTGGAAGGTTGCAAGTGTGTGAGGTTGTATTCATGCACATCCACCGGGACCCTAGCAGTATAGGTAATGTGAGGATTATCAATCTTCATTGTAGCGGATGACCATTTCAAGTTGGATGTCATTACGTTAGAGTTAACCTTCCAAGACACCAAGATTGAGTGAGATTCTGCTTGTTTGACATATATTTTCAGAACTTGAGTACCGTCCAGCAGTGTTCCATTCACTCGAATTGTAGCTACTCTTGTATCTGCTCCTTCTATGTTTTGAGCCACACATGTGTACCTCCCTGAATCCTCGGTCTGAATATTTGATATTTCCAGAGTCCCTTCACTGCTGAGCTTGTATTTGTCCGAAAGGGTTTCAGCAGTTATTTTATTCCCAAGTGGAGTTACCCAATAAATTTCAGGTTCTGGCTCTGCCATAGCCCGACAATCCAAGAAGACAGTCATGCCGATGTCCAAATTCAAATGATTTGGAAATGTGTCATGAGAAATCATTGGAAGACATTGCTCACTGGAATCCTGTATTAACACCTCCTTGACTTGCTGCCCTCTGTATTCTGGTGGCATAGCACAGAACATTGATAAGGGCTCCATGAAACGGATATTAGTCTTGTTTGAGTTTATCCAGTGGATGACACAGTCACACCTGAGGGGATTACTGTGAATGCTGATCTCACGCAAGTTTGGCAGGGATTCCACTGTTTTTTGGTAGACTGCATTCAAGGCATTATTGTTAAGCATCAGGCTTTCCAGAGCAGGAACATCCCGAAATGCTAAACGATGTATATAAGATAACTTTGGGTTGTTCGTTGCTTCAAGCTTGGTAAGTTCAGGAAGATTGTCTAGTGCATACCTGTCAACAGAGACCAGCTCTCCCATATTGTTGATTCCAAGTTCTTTCAACCGAAGCATGTTTTTGAAGTCTCCTTCTTGGATTTTGTGGATTGGGTTTTTGTTAAGATCCAAAAATTTTAAATTTGGAACTTTCTCAAGTGCAAGCTGAGGAACTTTAACTAATCTGTTGTCATAAAAGGAGAGACTTTCAAGACTATCCAAGCCTACTAGAGCATTTCCAGGGATGTCAGTCAGGTACATACCAGCCAGAACCAGACTTCTTAAATTTGAGAGTGGCTTGAAATTCATATCTAATATCCCAATGACAGGATTTTCCCCAATCATCAGAATTTCCAAGTTGGGTGTAGAATCAAACCAGCGACTGTCAATAACTTTTAATTTGTTGGAATTAAGATGAAGTCTTAAAAGGTTCTTCAAGCCTGAGAACGCATTTGCAGAAATGGTACTGATTTGGTTATGGTTTATATAAAGTTCCTGAAGATTGCACAGATCCTGTAAGCAGTAATCTGTCATCTCCGTGATCTGATTTTCCTCCAGATGTAAAGTAGTGAGCTGAGTAAGATTTGACAGCCCCACGTCTTTTATACTAGTAAAATTATTCTGTGAAAAATCCAATTCTGTTAAATTGAAAAGCTGTTGGAGCTCATCAGTGGTCTTGGCAATGTTGTTGCTTTGCAAGAGAAGAACTTGAGTATCACTGGAAAGATTACTGGGGATTTTTGTTAAACGAAGATCGTTGCAGTCAACTGTTGTAGCTTCTCTATAGGTCGACTGGGGTGTAAACCACGGCCTTATCTCACAGACGCACAATTGTGGACATTCATTATTCGGTATGGAAGATGCACTAAATTGATTTACGAGTAATCCCAGAACCAAATGGCAAACCCTTAATGTAAAATTAATCCCAGCCATAGCGGTTTCCTAGTAGGTTCTTCTGGTTTACTACTTGCAAGTACTAGTAGATCAAATGCTTAGGCATTCAAAAGATGGAAGATGTTCTTGTTATTTTCTTGTGAACAGTTAGCGATGCGATGTCTCTTCACCAAGCCTCGTTGTTTCACTCTGCGGAAGCTATGTTCCTTGATATATTGGGATACATCTGAAAAGAAACAAACAGATATGAAATGCATGCCATGTATTTCCTAAATTAAAGCCTTCTGTCTTCTGGAGACTTTATTTTCAGTACACTATCATTAGAGCTTTTCTATATGCAGCCAATATTGATTTAATGAACTTCTAAAAATGCCTGACTATTACAAATGTTCAAAATTGCCATTCAAATATTCAGTGGTTTGCTCTTAATCATAAACAGAACAAACAACATTTGGATTGGAGTTCAATGTCGTAAAATATTTCCCCAACAATGGTATTTCACTGGTGTCTCTCCCCACACCGATTTTGGTCCCTCTTGACTTTGTTTACTCATGTAAACTGAACTGCTTCTAACTGCATAGGGTGACAATTTGGAGTAGTCTCCAGTGACATGATTGGGGAAAGGGGTTGTAATTCAGTAACAACAGAGCATCTGCCTTGCATGCTAAAGTTCCCAGGTTCAACTCCCAGCATCTCCAGGTAGGGCTGGGAGAGAACCCTGCCTGAAACCCTGAAGGGCCACTGCCAGACTATATGGACCAATGGTCTGACTTACTATGAGCAGCTTCCTGTGCTAATGTTGTGTTTGCTTGAGTGGCCAGATGTTAACTTATGGAGATTCATCAGATATATAACAACATGGAAGTTTCTATGGAGCTACTGGACCATGGATAAAGGAACCTCTGGTCCTCCAGCTATTGCGGGACTTTAATTCTTCACCATCCCAGCCAGCAAAGCCAGTAGTCAGGGGTGATGCGAGTTGCAGTCTGACAACATCTGGAGGGCCAGAGTTTGCCCATCCCTCTACTAGTCCATAGTTATGTATTTCCAATCCACGAACACACACACAGTTAATAAATACTGTACAAATGAGGGATGCCCACTGACAAGATTTCCTTCCAACCCAATTCAGAGCATTAGAAAACAGTCTGCCTTGGTCCTAGTGCTTCATAGGTTGCCCAATTCAGCTTAGGGTCCATATCTCCATTTCCCTGCCTATTCATTCCGGGAAATCAAAAGACGGCAAGAACTTTGTCAGGAGTGGATAACATTTACAGGAGTAGTATTCCTCCACAGTGGATAAAGCCAGCCCAATTACAGGCAAATAGGTCCAGGACCCTGTTTATGCCAAGGACCTTTAAATGTGAATGATATTATCTATAACTTCTTTATTTTTAGGTAGAAATGGATAGATTTTGCAGCCACTCACATCTTCAGAGGGAATGAATCCCGCAAAATTTCAGCCGGAGTGGTTCTCCCATTGCAGTTTTGTGTTGGTTAAAAAAAAAGGAATCACTTGACCTCCCCATACATTTTGTGGGCAATTGGTCTGAAAACTTCAGACATGAGAGATGTGCCCTCTGGGTAAAGAACCTACCAAACTGCAGGCAAATAAGCCTAGTGGGGTTTGTGCTAGGCACCTTCAAAGCTGATTTTGGGGAGGATTCATTTTCTGGGTGAAATCATTTGCTCTGAATACATGCCTGACCTGTCAATCACATCTGATTCTCCCTCTGCTTTCTCCCCACTTTGCTGCTTGCTGTGACTTCCCAACAACATCCCACGTGGGTGTGATTCTCTGTACAGTAAACTGCAAGAAATTACTATTGCTTTGAGCAAACAACTGTCTGCAGCATTTTGATGTCTTGGATCATCAAACTTGTGTAACTTTTTACAGATCCCTCTTCATTTCTAGCAAGACCAAAGTCCCTCCAAGGCACTGTCTCAGGATTCAATATTTGTCCAGATGTGATGCACACTCTATGCATGTTGCATGTACACAATATTTGTGGTAGACTTAAACTGGCTATTTTGTTTCTACCCAAAAAGGAAATCAGCATCATTTTGCGAATTCAGTGCGCGCACTCTCTCTCTCCCTCTCATCATCTAAGCCAATTCTCAAGGGTTCCATATTCAGCCACTCCCCACTGTACATGCAGAAAAATTCATCTCATAAATATGAATGGGAAGCTTCTATAGATGTTGGGCGCTAGATGACTCCTAATAACTCTGTTAATCCACAAAGTATTTTTCTTCCTTTCAGATATCATTCACTAGTTTACAGTAATTGATTCCATGAATATAACTTCTATTCAGCAAGGAGAATGATTGTTCTCAATTATGTGCTTAAAACTGCTCTGGCTATATCCGTTTATGGAGACTTATCTTATACAAAGCCTATAGTAAAACATATAAAGCACAGCAAGGTTCAGGATAAGCCGCAAATTCAAATCGATTCTGGTGTTAATATTTATATCCTATAAACTGCATATAACATATTGTGCAACTGTACATTTCTGTACAGAATAGCAATTATTAAGCATTTCATTATTTTTATGTCAATAATCTGAATACCACTTAATCACAGTCTTCTCTAAGCAGTGTACAGGAGACCCAAACGAGTTAAAACTAAGCCTGCTGGAATAAAAAAAAGTATTCAGTAAGTACCGGAAGTTCAGCAGGGAGGGAGCCTATCTGTCCTGAACCGAAAGGGAGTTCCACGAAAATGGACCCACTCTGAATGCGTGGCTCCTTTTGTTTCTTAAAATTAGTGATCTCTTACAGAAGGAAAATGTAATTTTCTTTTAACTGGGAAAATGTTCTTTATGAATAATGTCCATACTAGTTTTTTCTCTCTCTCTCTCTAAACAATGGCTAGAAGTGATTGATTGTACATATCTATTAATGAAAGTCTGTTTCAGTTTTAACACAGTAAATTGCAATTGCTTTCACATGCCGTGCTCCATTTTAATTTTTGCACTCAGGTGAACTGCAGTTCAGACTGGAGTGCAAAAGCAGTTTAGAAGGAGGAGAGTAAGTCAGAAATCGTGGGGGATAGAGGAAAAGAAAGAAAAAAGAAGTGAACTCTACACTGGACTTTTGAGTACTTTTATAAGTACACTTTTGGCCTTTTAATGTATTAAGTCTCTGGTCTGTAGTCTGAAATAAAAATCTAGATGCCAGTTTACCTAGCCAACTTTCATTTAGCAATGAGTCTATAGGAAGGAGGCCAGGTTTCACAAATACACTGCACTACAGATATGGCACCAAAACTTCTGCTCAGGATGATGCTGATCTGTGGCAGACTGCATTATGTTGTTTTTGTTATTTGTATACCACCCTTCATTTGAAGATCACAGGGTGGTTCATAACATAAAAATACAAAACGAGAACACAAAATGCATAATAAAACAAAAACAAAACATCTCCCACAAACACATTTTAAGGGACATAGAATGTTTAATCAGCTAAAGGCCTGAAACGTTCTTGTCTATTGCCTAAAGATATGTAATGAACGCACCAGGCGAGCCTCTCTGGGGAGAGCATTCCGCAAACAGGGATCCAATGCAGAAAAGGCCTGTTCTTGTGTTGCCACCCTCCAGGCCTCTTATGCAAGGGGGACACAAAGAAGGGCCTCAGATGATGACTGCAGGATCCAAATCAGTTCATATGGGTAAAGGCAGACCTTGAAATAAGGATTTTGAAGGCAAGTGCATGCCTATAATGGCAGGCAGTGGTTCAGAGTGGATTAAAACATTGCTTTGTTGCAGAGTTGTTGCAAAAATCAAATGGGAAAAGTGATGCTGTTCTCTACTGTCCAAAAAGTGGTATTGTATTACTAGGAATCTCGTGGTATAAATAATAATTACAACTCTGGCTCAATGCGAGTAAAGGTACCCCTGCCCGTACGGGCCAGTCGTGTCCGACTCTAGGGTTGTGCGCCCATCTCACTTAAGAGGCCGGGGGCCAGAGCTGTCCGGAGACACTTCCGGGTCACGTGGCCAGCGTGACGAAGCTGCTCTGGTGAGCCAGCACCAGCGCAGCACACGGAAACGCCATTTACCTTCCTGCTATAAAGCGGTACCTATTTATCTACTTGCACTTGGGGCTGCTTTCGAACTGCTAGGTGGGCAGGAGCTGGGACCTAAAGAAGGGAGCTCACCCCGCTGCGGGGATTCGAACCGCCGACCATGCGATCGGCAAGTCCTAGGCACTGAGGTTTTACCCACAGCGCCCAGCACTCATTGCTGACTTCATGGGAAAAAAAGATTGATAAAGTCTGGAATGTGATCAACCAGATGCCACAAACAAGACACAAGTGTAACAGCATTCTTGTCACTTGTGATTCCTGGCAACTGGTATAAGAGGCACGCTGCCTCTCAGACATCTTAGCAAGTAGCCACAGATATCCTTAACTGCCATGGTATTATCTAATCATCTTTTAAAGCTATCGCAGTTGGTGGGTATCGCATCTTGTTTGAGCAAATTCCAGTGCACTGTTGTGAAGAAGTACTTCCTTTCGTCTGTCCTGAAGCTTCATTGAATGGTCCGAGGTTCTAGTATTATGAGAGAGAAAGACACCTCCCTACCCACCTTCTCTACCCCATAATTTTACACACCCAAATCATGTCCCCTCTTGCTCACATTTCTCTAAACTAAAAATACCCAAGCGCTGCAGTCTAAGAGAACTACTCTTAAGAGAATTGCTCCAGCCCCTTCATCATTTTCATTTTGCTTTTCTGAACCCTTTCCAACTTTAAAATATATTTTTGGAGGAGCTGTACACAGTATTCCAAGTGTGGCCACACTTGTACAACGGCACTGGCAGTTTTATTTGTAACCTTTTCCCTAATGATCCTGAACACGCAATTCATCTTTTTCACACAGCTGCTGCACACTGCGTTGACATCTTCACTGTGTTATCTAGGAAGACCCCAACATTTCATTCCTCGTCAGCCACCCTTCAACCACAAGCGTATGTATGAAATTTCAATGGTTTTGCTCCAATTTGCATCTTTTTACACTTGCTTACAGTGAAT